ATTTGCAGTGGTTTATAAAAACAAAATGCCGTCTTCAGCTGGAGAGTTGAAAAAAATGTAGGAATAAAAACTGATAGTGGTAATGTGACTATTTCATTATATTGCAAGAATCATTCGCTAGTGACGTGTTCTGTGAGAAAAGTTGAGTGTTCCAAATGTGATAACTTTCGATATAACAACGGTAATGATAATGAAGCTGATAATTATGACAAGGATGTTGTGATTTATGTGCGAGAATATGTGATTTAGTCACCTGACTGTATCAACCTTGAGGATGACTCGTGTGACAACCACTTGACTGACAACCTCATACTAATGAATATCACAATGAACAAAAACGGTAAGGAGGATTTGGTCTCCGATCTCAGCAACCACTTTCTGAAAGCCGCATCTTATCGAACAACTGGTTAGACAACCACAGTCCTGACGACAACCACAGTCCTGATGACAACCACAGTCCTGACGACAACCACAGTCCTGACGACAACCACAGTCCTGACGACAACCACAGTCCTGAAGACAACCACAGTCCTGACGACAACCACAGTCCTGACGACAACCACAGTCCTGAAGACAACCACATCCACATGACCCAGTTTTCTGACCCCGGCAACTTCAATGACCTGGAGATTAACGGACACAAACCCCTGTACGACACCCGCGTAGACCCCTCACCAGAACCCCCAGCCGATGAATCTCAGATGAACAGCCCGCCAAAGAATAAATAATTATCATTAAATTTAAAAAAAAAAACCCACGTTTTCTGATTGAACTAAAAAGTAGAAAATAAATGCTATACATCTCAATAATGCAAGCGATCACTCTACTATAAGCGATCGCAAACTGCGTGCGCATTATGACAAAAAATGAAAAACGTGGGGCGCCGAAGTAAAAGCTTTTTATCGGTCATTGTTAATATAAGATTTAAAAGTTATATTACTATTGATTAGATAATACTATTGAGTTTTATTAGGGAGCTTGTAGAGAGTCAGCAGTATTAGAAACTGTAAGAAAATCACGGCGCCCCACGTTTTTTATTTTTTGTCATAATGCGCACGCAGTTTGCGATCGCTTATAGTAGAGTGATCGCTTGCATTATTGAGATGTATAGCATTTATTTTCTACTTTTTAGTTCAATCAGAAAACGTGGGTTTTTAAATTTTTATTTAATGATAATTATTTTCTACTTTTTAGTCTTTGTCTGTTTGTTTGCATTCAAATCTTCGTCGGGAACTTCACCAGGATCAAGGTTATTCCAGTAGGCTTTCGACGGAGCCATGTTCTTCTTATTGTTGCGCAAGTGCGAGTTACATCGGCGACAAACTTCTAGCACAGTCTTTTGCGCAAGCTCAGGGGGAAGGTATCCCTTAGAAGCAAGCATGTGATATTTTGTCACCTGATTAGGATAGCACTGCTTATGACAAATATCACAAGTTATATTGCAAAAAGTGTTTATCGTGTCGAAAAATGTTTTCATTGCTGCCGAACGTTGGGCGTAAGCAGTGCGTCGACGTTGCAATTCTGCTTCATGCCTTTCTTTGTCTTGACGAGCAGTAGCATGACGCTTTCTGTCTTTTGCTTGGCGAGAGACCCTTTCTTCTTTGGTCTCAATCGCAAGTGCAGCAGCAGTTCGTTCTTTCTGCTTGGCAAGACGAGAGACCCTTTCTTGTTCTGTCTCAATCGCAAGTGCAGCATCAGTTCGTTCTTTCTGCTTAGCAAGACGAGAGACCCTTTCTTGTTCTGTCTCAATCGCACGAGCAGTAGCATGACGCACTCTATCTTTTGCTTTACGAGAGACACTTTGTTCTTCTCTCTCCATCGCTAAAGCAGCAAATTTTCGGTTTCGATCTTTTTCAAGCTTCTTTTGATACTCACCTTCTTCCATAATTTTTGGTCGTTTAGAAGGATTTTCCAATCTGCATCCTTCATTGCGCTTCTCCTGATACTTTTGGCGTGCCTTTTCCAATCGACGTTTCTTCTGTGTTGCCGTTTCTTTCACCATTTTGCCCTAGCGTGCAAACCATTCGACCATCAACATTTCACTTCCGGATCAGTCAGATTTGCATAGGTTTGTACACAAACACCGCATGACCACTACTCAGCCAATCGCGTGCTCGCTCCTTCATGATTTTCATTTGTTTTTCAGTAAGCCAGAAGAGGTTAAGTACCGAACCTTGTTTTTTATCAAATTACAATTACTAGGTTATGTCCCTTTTTTGTACAAATGAATAGGAGTCTAAAATGATCAATAAAATTTTTCCATGGATCAATTTAGTAATAATAATAATAATTGAATATTGTATTGTCATCGGATATAAAGCTTTCCTGAAAATTTCAGCGCGCTAACTAACTGAGAAGTGCCCGAAATTTCGATCGCAAGATTTGATGGAAAGACAAACAGACGCGAAAGCAAGTTAAAGAAAACGTGGGAAAAAGTGATTTTGTTTCTGCTGGTCATCGCTTTCTTCTCCGGTGGTGTTGGTTTCTTACTCAGTGCACCATTTCTTCCACAAGATTTGGGTGTTGTGGTTTACTGATTCATCGTTGATGTTGGTGATGTTTTAACTGTGTCTTCGTGTCTGTTAATGAATTTTATTTGTGTCTTCATGTCTGCTGATGCTGTAAATTTATCATTATGTTTTTTTTGGTGTTTTAATTGTGTCTTCATGTCTAGTGATGATATTTAAAATGTGTGTCGTGTTTTCTAAATATAATTTTACTTATGTCTTTATATATTTTATTGTTGTTGAGCCAATATAATATTTCTGAAAAAAAAATGTGTTATTATGTTCTATTTTCTAAAAATAAAAATAAATTTGAGAATTATTTTTCTATTTATTCTGTCACATGGGTTTATATTTCTAGACAAGACCCCATTATTTTTTCGGTTTCATTTGTGTTTTTTTAAATTTTAAATACAAGTTTGACGTTTCAGTCTTAAATGTAATATATATATATATATATATATATATATATATATATATATATATATATATATATATATATATATATATATATATATATATATATATATTGTGACCTACTTAGGTCTTTTTATTATTTAGTCTCCTGACTTATGTGTTTGACCTTGGGAGAGTTGTCAGTTCACCGGTACGCATCGGCCAACTGAACTTCGTCACGGCAGGTGACTTGGATTTTAATCCTTATCAGAACCTCGGCCAATAGTTGTTTAGTATTGAAGATCCTTAACCGAACCTCGACCAATGGCCCTAGAACATTATAGTAGCCTCCCTTGGTTTTGATCTCAGATAAAAGGTCGAGACTCGACTTCTCGAGAGGACTTTGACCTAGACCCCGGGAGACACAGTGCGGTGTGTGTGTGTGTGGTTATATTCAATTGTTCAGTTTGTGGTGATATATATTAGTTCCTCACCATAGGAGTTGTTGACCACTCCAGTGTTTAAGAGATATTGTTTAGGTGTGATATTTCACCAAGTTGTATGGTTATTCCAGTGTTAATGAGCTATTGCTTAGGTGTGTTATTTCACCAAGTTGTATGGCCATTCCAGTACTTAGGATATTGTTTAAGTGTGATATTTCACCAAGTTGTGTGATTATTCAAGTGATTATGAGATGTTGCTTAGGTGTGTTATTTCACCAAGTTGTGTGATTATTCAAGTGATTATGAGATGTTGCTTAGGTGTGTTATTTCACCAAGTTGTGTGATTATTCAAGTGATTATGAGATGTTGCTTAGGTGTGTTATTTCACCAAGTTGTGTGATTATTCAAATGATTATGAGATGTTGCTTAGGTGTGTTATTTCACCAAGTTGTATGGTCATTCCAGGTCTATGATATTGTATTTAGGTGTGGTATTACACCAAGGCTTTACCTGTGACTTTAATATCTAATTGTTGGATATATTTCAATATCACTGAGTTATCTGTGAGTGATTTGTATGGTTTATTTATTGCTCTTAATGAAGTTTACTTTGGTGTTGACTTATTGACTATTGTACATACTTGTGCATAAATTAAAATAGTAGTTGTCAGTTTAACCTAAGTTGAGTTTCATCTATCCTACGTGTCAGTACCCCTAGACTGTTCATACAAGCCCACGTAGACGTAGGTGGCTCATACTGTCCAGAAGGTTTCTGTCTGACTACTTTAAACGAACCTGGGGCGTTCGCCGATTCTGCGTCTGACAGAAGGCGTCCGTTACAATATATATAAATATATATATATATATATATACATATATATATATATATATATATATATATATATATATATATATATATATATATATATATATATATATATATACATATATATATATATATATATATATATATACATATGTATATATACATATATATATATATATATATATATATATATATATATATATATATATATATTTATATATATATGTATATATATGTATATATATATGTATATATATATATATATATATATATATATATATATATATACATATATATATATATATATATATATATATATATATATATATATATATATATATATATATATATATATATATATATATATATATATATATATATATATATATATATATCATATAAACAAGGTTTATCACTGATGATAGAATTCACTGGTTGCTATGACGACGTGACGATTGTAGCACGTATTTATCGCTATGAGCAATCGTCGCAATTTTCTCTAAAACTGTTTTGTCAAGTTCTGTTTTAGTGTCATTATTTTGAAAACGTTTTTTGTTTAAACTAAAAAAATCTTTGATGTGTATGACGTTATCACCAATTTGACAATTTTACCTCGTAAATAAAACTCGAAATTACTTATTGTAATTACACACGGGAAGCTTAAAATATTGGGAGTGTCCTTAAAGAAACAGATTTCGTACTAAGTAATAGAAAACACAATTTATGATAACCAAACTTTATCTTTTTGCAAACAACACATTTTCAAAAAATTTCATTTGGTTCTATGTGAAACCCTTATAACAACATAGAATGATTATGACGTGATTTTTATTCAGTTTATTCTTAACGGAACTATCGTTTGTGTCTCAGGCCTGGTAGCGCCATAGTCCACACAGGAAGAATTTTTGTTGGGTTTTGATCTGAGGTGACGGTAGACAAAATATAGGCCACAGCTGATCATCTGGGGAGGTGGGTAAATGTCGATGACTAATGAGTCTAATAACTAGTCTGTATGCCAATAATTATTTAAAAACATATACACGTGATTATATTATACAGGTTATGTGTGGATGTTTGTACATAGTACGTAATGTCAACGTAAAGGATAGAAATCGTATAAGTAATGTATAACTGATCAGGCTGTCAATCTATTATCTTTTAAAAAACATACACACGTGTTTATAGACAGGTTATGTAAGTATGTATATTTTTATGTATGTCAAGGATAGAAATTTAATGGCTAATACATGTCAATCTTTTAAAACATACAAACATTGAAACACACAAACACAAACACACACATAAACACGCAAGTGATTACATGGTATGTATGTCATGGAAAGAGACCTAAACGTCAGTACATCTTGGCTTTCTATTGTACACCTAGTGTTGTGTTAGGAGGGGGTGGGTGGGTGTTGGTTGGATTGGCTTGGTGTAGTGTGGGAAGGGAGTGTGTGAGGCTCGAGTTTTGTGGATGATGTGAGCGTTAAATGGATGTGGTTTATGTGGGGAATGTGTGTATGTTTCTGTCAACGTATTTTTAGATAATACTGTTGGATTGGCACTGTGAGATGAATTCAAACACCCTTACACTAATAAAACATCAACAGATCTGCACTCTTACCCTGAGTGGCAGTAAGTTTGTGAACGGCGAACATTTATTGTTCAGCTTACCACGACAAAGTAGATCTCACTGATGACAGTGGCTCCTGCCCTAAAGCCCAACTCTTCAATCAACACACCTCCTAGCATAGGGCCAATGAAAGTGCTAGAAAATAGATTTTATAAATTATTTTTATATTGATAGGGAAAATTTATAGATTTTAACAAATAAATTAAAACAAGAAAAGTATTGACACTGTCTATATTAGTAGCACAAATAGCACCAGATACCAAGTAAACTACTGTTTGATTAAAAGGTCCCTTTAAAATATGACGGTCTATAGGGCAAGTGAAGTAGAGTTCACTTGTTTCTGTGACCTAGGCATATGAAGAGATAGTGTGGTCAGCATTATGCCGATCCGTTTTTACTTTCCCTAACGTTAGTTAGGTACCCAACAGAGTTGGGTGGACTCAGGGACGCTCTACTGACTTGAACCCGGATTCGAACTCGAGACTTACGGGTTAGCAGTCCAGCTCTCTACCGCTAGACCACTCCGTATGATTACTCTGTTTGATTACGTATATGTATGTATACATGACCACGCACACACACACACGCAAACACGGGTTAGCAGTCCAGCTCTCTACCGCTAGACCACTCCATCTGATTACTCTGTTTGATTACAAATATGTATACATGCGCAGGCACACACACACACGCAAACACACACACACACACACACACACACACACACATATATATATATATATATATATATATGGCATATTTTAATATAACATCAAAAAGTAAACATGTATGATAAATGTTTGAAAATGTAAAAAAAACAAGCCGTCCCACCGTATTCTATCAAATCTGCACTTGTACAGATTTTTGTTGAGTAGCTGAAGTTTTTTTTTTACTTATTTATTTTTAAGCATGTACAGTAACGGAGGTTTAAAAATTACACTTTTTAAACAAATGTGAAGTTGTGGTGTTGTAGTCTGAGGTGTGACATTTTATGGGGGTGGTCTGGCTTTTTGTGACGATGTGTAAAGGTGGGGAGGGGGCATGTAAAAATACAAAAAGTGTGATGTATTTTATTAACAACCCCTGTTGGTTTGTTAACATTTCAACTTATTTTATGGTCAGTACACTTAACCTGAGCTATCAAATATTAAACTATATGAATACAATAGTGTTTGACGTTTTACCTTGACTTACCCCAGGTAGTAAATAGCATTAAATAGCCCAACAACAATGCCGTACGTTTCCAAGTTGTTTTCAAAGCCCAGCTCACTGCGGATAATTATTTTAAAAGTTGATGATTAGTTAATTAACTTTACAAATAAATGTATAATGCATGAGATTCACAGGAGTGGACTCTGACAAAATGATACAGGCATATATTTTTCTATTTCGTTAGGGCTGAATACTGAATTAAAATGAAGTTTTGTTTAATTAATTAAGTCACCTGACTCACATTGCACTAATCAGCAAGCAGTTCATGGTAGGTACAATAGCGAGGGCATAGAAAAACCCCAGAATAACCAGACCTAAAATAATGACCCACAATTCTCTGAAAAATAGATTTATTTAAAAAAAATTAAAAGTATTTTATTTTATAAGTACAAAATTAAGTTTTCAAACTACCTTCATACACGTTATAGTTTGTTTTGTTTTTTATGTCTTAGCCGGCAAGAATAAGAGAATATAAAACTTTTTTAGAGGCAAACATCTCTCATAAGGGAACTATTTAAAACTCACACAGGTAAGAAAGGTAAGAATGGGCTGGGTCCAACTACCAGTAAACCTAACCCACACATCAAGTTTCCCAAGGTTATCAAAGTGCCGTTTATATTCTGGAAATTAAAAAAAACTTTTGACATTATTTTTATGAGTTGCCAACTAGTGATTTGTATTCTCCAAGAAAAAATATAGGCTTAATATTTTTTTGTTCGACACGATCACTGGACTAAACATGACATTTATCAGCATTCTAAACATACTATAAAGCGGCTGCATATGTAACAGATTGCGAAATCAAAAGCAACGTCATCAAGGCTAGTTACGTGTTCATCACCACCAGAAAACGAACGACACTTCCTAAGATACTTAATCTAACAGAAAGGAGAATCTATTCTTCTCTATAGTTCTGAGATAATGAGATAAGGAGATAAGGAGAGTAACACAAGTTATTGCCAAAATTTAGGCATACGTTAATAGATGCTAGACTCTCATAATGAACATCAGACCATCAACAAGTGAACAATCCGGCTAAAAACCTCACAAGACAGGCATTAGATTTCAAGCCACACAGAAAGTTTAGGGCTAGACCAAAACAAACACGACATTGCATAGTTTATAACGACGTGCGAGCAACCGGAACGACATGGATGTAACATGGAGAAATCGTTTAAAACTGAGTACGATGTGTTGATGTTGTTGCGTTCATTTGCATCCGATACTGACAATAATTAAGAGGATGATAGTGATAAGGATGATGTTTCTGATGGTTAGGATAACGATGATGCAAGTGATTATGGGGATAATAATAATGATGATGATGATATGATGATAATGATGATGGTAAGGACTATGAGGATGATGATGAGAATAAGGATAAGTAGGATGATGATGATGAGGATGAGGATCAGGAGGAGAATGATTATGATGTGAATGAGGATCAGGAGGAGAATGATAATGATGTGAATGAGAATCAGGAAGAGAATGATTATGATGTGAATGAGGATCAGAAGGAGAATGATGATGATGTGAATGAGGATCAGGAGGAGAATGATTATGATGGGAATGAGGATCAGGAGGAGAATGATGATGATATGAATGAGAATCAGGAAGAGAATGATGATGATGTGAATGAGGATCAGGAGGAGAATGATGATGATGTGAATGAGGATCAGGAGGAGAATAATGATGATGTGAATGAGGATCAGGAGGAGAATGATGATGATGTGAATGAGGATCAGGAGGAGAATGATGATGAGGATGATGATGATGACATGTGCATTCAATTAATATGCAAACACGTAACATTAATAAAATACCATAGAGTCGCTGATCCTCCCCCACACCGGTGACGTCACTGCATACAAACACGGAGTAATGACAAACATCAGGCCAATAAGTGAAGTCGATAGATTAAACTGAAAGCACAAAATGTAAAGTCAATTGAGAAATGTTATATTTCCTACAAGATCTTATGCATAAATAAAGTATTTTTATTACAGGTTTCGGTATTTAATTTTTAAAATCTCTTCTCAAAATATTATAAATTTTATATATATATATATATATATATATATATATATATATATATATATATATATATATATATATATATATATATATATATATATATATATATACATATATATATATATCATCGTCGTTAGGACACTACTGTTAGTTTTATCATAATTTTCATTTCGTTTGCCCTCTGGGTTCTCTGTTGTTCTGAGTAGTTCTGCGACGGGCAGGTCCGTCCATAGTTTGATCTCCTCCTTCCAGTAACGCCTTTTCCTTCTTCTCCTTCTTGGCGCAGTATCTTAAATCTTTGTTTTAGATAGGCCGTTTATTTATGTGGCATACTCATACCGTCTCAGTTTACTTGTTTTTAACTACGCTCTGTAGACTCTGAAAGGGGTCAATGACTCAAATTACCGTATTACCTGTTCTAACTGTTTAGCCAGTGTTGGGTCCAAGAAAGAAACACCCACGGCACAAACGATAATGCTGGCGCCAGTAAACCACACCATAGGGTGCTTCAACATGGAGACAATACTGCCTTTTCTTTCGTCTTTCATTCCTGTCAGATTATTCGTACAACAGAGATTTGTACTTTCTCGTATACAGAGTATAGAGAAACTATTGTAATCGTCATAAAATTCACTTGCAATTTTGACAGTTTTCACCGTATTACACATCAGTTCTTCATCACATCCGGAGTATAGAGGACTTATTTTAATAGGGCAAAAATTATCAATTCTGATTTATCAAAATTGTGGGTTTTTATGCGTAATCGAGTCTGAAAAACTGGGCTTTGCAATTCTGTCCGCATGTCTGTGTGTGTGTGTGTGTCTGTGAACACGATAACTTGAGTACCGTTACAGCTAGGTTGATGAAATTTCATACATAAGTATTATATCAAATGTGAAGTACTGAGTCAACGTTTCAGCGAATTCCGATAACCGGAATTGGAACTTATTCTACTTTAAATACTTCAAAAGCCTATAATGTGAGTACTGTTTCAGATAGATTAATTAAATTTCACATGTAAGTAAAAGATCTAATTCTCTGCCTTCTGACAAATTTTGAGTAATTTCCGTTGACCGGAAGTAGTATTTTACGCTAAAAGAGGCATATAAATTTATAAAGTACTAATAATATTCCGCACTATTATAGGCTACACATTTTGTTTGCCGTTCGCTAAGTGCGCAATTCTTTTTTTCGACGAGATTCTATTTTGTTTTAAAAAGATTAATAATTAAAAATGGATAAAAAATCATGTCAATATCCCTTGTTGCTATCCCCTGTAGTGTTATGAATATTCGAGAAAGTTTAGGGGCGATCACTTCCGGTTTAATTTCCTCATTTTTTAAAACATCTTCAAAACGTTAAAATTTGATAGAAACGAAGAAATACAATGCGGTACGCCGTGGTCTAGCAGTAAAGCAATAGAGTTCGAATCCGGATCTAAATCAGTAAATCACGTTAGGGAGAGTAAAGGCGGCTGGGAATATTGCTGACCACACTTTCCATTCATATGCCGAGGTCACAGAAACAGGTGAACTCTACTGCACTTACCCAGTAGATCGCCATGTTCGAAACAAGAATTTTACTAAAGAAATTCAATGGTAATAAGCCTGTTCCATCATAATACAGGCCGCTATTATATCTTGTGAAACAAAATATATAACATCTGAAAGGTACTTTAGACATTTGAAACGCTTTGAAAATCGGTGAGAAATGACTATTTAACCAGATATGGTAACTCTATCGTTTTTATAATAAACATTGATAAAACACTGATAACATTATGGAGGTGCTTTGGGCGATCCCCCCCCCTACTCCACCCCCCCCCACACACACACACACGGGACGCCTAAAAGCAACTCTGCGTATGATGCATATGATCCCTGTTCAAAGTTTACTCCCTTTAAAATCAGTAAATAAAACATGAGCAACAAATTACTTTCAGCTCTAATTTTAACATGAATTGCAAGAGATGATCTGACAGGCTTAGAGCAACTCACCTTGTGGGTCTGGTAACAAGAAATACACAATTGTGCCCACAAATAGATTAAGAGACCCAATAACGAAAAATGGTAGGCCATATCCTCCAATCTGTAATCATCATTGCAAAGCTACATTTAAGATATCAATTATTCAAAATAGAATATAACATCTACGGTATTTGTTCCTAAATTTAGCACAAAGTAGTAAATACTAACTTTAAGAAATTATATTATTTCCCTTCATATTAAAATAAGATTTCAATTCGCCTAAATTGTAAAAAAATAAAATCTTTATAATTTCTGTAATTTAGTCTTGCAATGACTAATCTTAGCTGAAGGCTACTTTTTATATTAAAATGTACTTTTTCGTGAATTATGATCAGTTTTTCCAGGCATCTCTTAACGGAGAGTGTCGTCCCCACTTATCCCCCCCCCCGAAAAAAGTCTACCCCCACCCTTATGGAATTTATATAGAAAATATATACTTTTACCAGTGTGTCCCCCCACCCTGAAAACAGCAAGTGCCTACCGGAGAAAATAGTCTGAAAGAGCCACTATGATATTTACTTTTCTATATGGATCCGCAAATGTTTCCATTGAAATTTTTAAGCGTATTAATCTAAAAATAGCTGACCTGGAACAAGACACCACCAACCGCGGGCCCTACCATTAGGCCAGCACCATCTGACATTTCTAGGACCGCCTGCAACAACAACAAAACCACATTATTCGTAACCTGGAGTATAGACATGAAAATGTCCAAGGAAGATCTCATACGATTCGTAGCCTCTAACACAGGCAGTCCACTGAGCGTCCGTAAATAGCAATTTGTCATCTTCAGCCCCACCTTGTAAACACATCTTCACAAAATGTCTGACCCCCCCCCCCCCCGCCAATGACGTCATACTTTAAGTCCTCTCCTCCCCCCCTGATGTCATACTTTAGCCTATCCTCCCCCAAAAAGTATCTTTTAATACGCAATTTTTTAAAAATATTAAATAACTTTGATCACTTGACTCACTAAATACATTTACTCCTTGTTGAGCATAGGGCATCCACCATAACCTTCCATTTAGTCTCGTCCCCGTCTGCCGATTTCACAAGACAGCCCTGCTCTCTTTTCAGTTCAATTAAGAAAATTCCACACACACGCACACACTTCTCTCTCCCCGCACACTTCCACTAAATCACTGCAAACACTCACAAAACTCGTGGCCACATTATGTGGGAATTCTTTTGAAATGATGGTGAACCCTGATGTTAAAATTGCTGATATCGCCAAAGCCTCGATAGAACGACAAGCAAAGCAAAGAGTGACAAACGACGCTCCTTTTGGGCACATGTCCAATAGACTGGAAAAGTAGTAACAGTGTAATCACGATTTTGTATTTTAAAAATTACTACCTCAAATTACTCACACAATCACATCTATTTTAGTCTAGTTAAATCGTAGAACAGTCATTTTGTTGTTGCTGTAAACTTACACAATTCCTTTGAGTAAAACTGTATCGGTAAATAGGTTAGGTAAGGTAGTGCTCACCTATTTCTATAACCTTAGTATATATGGAATAATGGATGGTCAGTTCTATATCCAGCTGCATTTACCCTCCCTAACTTAAGTCAGGTACTCATCAGAGCTGGGTGGACTCAGAAATATCCAAACACAAGACTTTGCGATTGACCAGTTGTGTGCCCTACCATCTAAACACGATCTACCTTTTTTACTTTCTCGTATATACGTAGTATAGAGAAAGTCTTGTAATCGTGCAAAAAAAATCGAGATTTTTATAAATCTCGACGTTTTACACCTCACTGATACGGAAAAACATAATTTTGCAATCATGTCCGTACGTCTGTGTGTCTGTCTGTGTGTCTGTGTGTCTGTGTGTCTGTGTGTGTATTAACACGATAACTTGAGTACCGTTACAGCTAGGTTGATGAAATTTCATATATAAGTATTTTATCAAAATCGTAGATCCGTAGCAACTTTTGAGCGATTTCCAGTATTCGGAACTGGTACTTTTTTCACTTTAAATTTTTCAAAAGCCTATAACTTGAGTAATATTTCAGATAGATAAATGAAATTTCACACGTGCGTAAAAGATTGAATTCTCTACCGTTTTGTCAAATTTTGAGTAATTTCTGTTGACCAAAAGTACTAGTTTACTCTATTTCCGATTTCTCAAAAAACGCTTGTAAATTTATAAGGGCTATAAAACTGGTTACTGGCTTGTCTAGTAGTCTGGATTCCTTTCTTACAACTAAAATACTTCCATTAAATAAAAAGATAATATATACTAAATCAATTTTCTTATATAAAATATTCCACGAAACAGCCCCCTCTTACTTGTCAAATCTATTTTCTTTTAACATAAAATTAAATCGCCGTCTTAATTTACCATTCCCTTATTCAACCTTTTTCCAAAAACATAGCTTCGCCTACTCTGGTTCTAATTTGTGGAACAATCTTCCTAATAAAATAAAGCTATCTAGATCTGAAAATATATTCAAATCTAAACTAAAACTAAAACTATTTAATGACCTAACTGACTCATTGTAACATTTCTCATTCATCTATTATATTCTCTTTTTTTATCTCATTATGTATGATAGCTATGTAACATTGTTTCTTTATTCCACATTTTTAGTGCTATGTTGTTACTGCTATGTGTTATTGAATTGTTTTATTTGTTTGAACGGCCAATGTGAAAAAAGGCCTTTGTGCCTACAATTGTAACCGTTGTTTGAATAAATTTGAATTTGAATTTAAAGTACTAATAATATTCCGCACTATTATGCACATTTTGTTTTGGCGTTAGCTTGGTGCGCAATTTTTTTTTCTATGAGATCCTATTCTATTATAAAAAGTTTAAGTATTTAAAATGGATTAAAAATCATAACTATATCCCGAGTTCCCATTCCCTGTTGTTTTATATAAGAATATTCGAGAAAGTTTAGGGGAGATCACTTCCGGTTTATTTATTTTAGAATTTAGCTTGTAAAACAAGCAACCTTTTTATACTTACCCAAACAGAATAGAACAAGTTCCAGCAACAAATGTTCCAGACACTAGCATGAACTTTGGCCCTATCTTCATCAACTAACACAAAAATAATAATAATAAACCATCACACATTGTTATTTTATTTTTATGATTTATTCGTATAATTTCAACATAAAAAAATAAAGTTGAAGTTTAAGCCTGGCTTACATAGTTACCATACAATGGAGAAGACAGGAAGATCATGAATTCATACGTGCTAAAAATCAGTCCGATCACTGTGTTGGAGACGCCTTTGCTTTCTGCCTGCAATAGAAAAATAAATTTTCCTTTCTTTAAAAATCTTTATGATCTTTTCCCCTTTTGTGCCCAATACGAATGGGGCAGATGAAGTAGAGTTCGTCTGTTTCGATGATCACTGCATACAAGCAATATTCCCTCTAAGGTGGAAAAGCTAGTGTGCAAAATTTATTTTCTGTGCGCGCTGTTCTAAAAGTCTTATACAAGGATATATTTATTTTACACAATGACTGCGCGGCAGCTCAAAACAACTACGCAGCCGCGCAAACGCGTAGCTTAGAGGGAAAATTGTCATACAAGAGGATAGTGTGGTCAGTTGTCTTCGTTTTTCTAACGTGACATGGTGTCCTTCAAAGCTGGTTGGACTCAAAGAAGGCCTACAGACTTAAGACCGGAACTCAAGATTTTTGGGATAGGTCATGAGTTCTACCGTCCAACTGCGTCTTTTAGAAAAATGTTATTTACCTGTAGCTTATGTATTTTATTTAATAACACGTAAAGTAATTCATGTGTAATGCAATAAAAAAAACATAAGTACTAGTCGCTTACCTCTTGTGGGAAGAAAGGCGCTGGTAGAGAGAACCCGCAACCTGCAGAGAAGAAAGCAATGAGGAGAAGAATTAAAATCACTTTTTTAGTCCGTGGTGGGCTGGACATTTTTGTCTTTTGATCGCTTGTTGGTGGTTCTAAGGGTGTGTCATCACAGGGGTAGTGCAAAGGTGATGGGGTGTCGCTTGTTTGATTCTTAGAGGTAAGGTTGCAAGTCAACTGATTTTCAGGGATACGGTGTGAAGTCATTTGGATGATAGAGCTATGGTTGTCAGTCAGCTGATTACTATGGGTGAGGTTGTCAGGCATCTGGTTGCTATGCGTTAGATTATCAGGCATCTGGTTGCTATGGGTGAGGGTATCAGGCATCTGGTTGCTATGGGTGAGGTTATCAGATATCTGGTTGCTATGGGCTAGGTTATCAGATATATGGTTGCTATGGATGAGGCTATCAGTCGTCTGGTTACTATGGTTGAGGCTGTCAGTTATCTGGTTGCTATGGGTGAGGTTATCAGCTATCTGGCTGCTATGGGTGAGGTTATCAGCCATCTGGTTGCTATGGATGAGTGAAGCCCATCTTTCAGTTATCATGCCATCCGTCCAGTGGTTCTCACGCGTACATTTCTCCGGCCTGCAGCATCCAGTACATGTTTTCCATTTTACTGAATCAACAGCTTCTACATCCTCTTTGTCCTTACTAGTCCGATTTTCCCCACTCATTTTCCACTTATATTCTTCCGGTGCTCCTATCGTAGGAGGAGGATTCTCATCACAAACAGAACTAGTCAAATCACTAGAAACATAACCACTTCTAACAGCGGAGTTTACACCCTGTCTAGGCTCCATATCTAGTTCTAAATAACGGGTATCAAACGGCATTATCAGAAACAAGAAAACTCAAACGTAACGAAACTTATTATACAAATAATTTAAAATTTTTATTTTAACCTCTGGTTATGCGTTGTAAAATTTTTCAAAACAAAATTCTTTGCAAGTATTCTAACTTTATGCATGAACAAATTGAAACAATTCTAAAATAGAATTTCTCTTATCCTGAACTCCTTCGATATGTAACACGAACAAAACAAAGTATGGCGTGCGTTTGATGGTCGGGCAACTAAAATACTGAGCTAATTGTACACATAACACGGTGGGCAACATATTGTTGAACTGTTAAATATGGTAATGAGCTCCATGGCTAGAAACATATGTTGCACGCCTTGTTGTGTTTGTTTTGTGTGCCACGAAGGGGCTTATAATATGAGCCACGTGGCTTGTTTTTCTTTGGATTGTCTTACACATATTTAATAACACTAATAATTCATGGACCCCAGACTGTGGCCCGATCAGCCCCTCCAGTTAATCCACCTCTGGTGATTACAGTGAACAGGTAGTTGAAACATCTCTTTTTCCATAGACAGACTTTCTACTCGACTATTTCCATTGAAAATAATTTGACTCAAGAGCTCACGTTAGTAGAGTTAAATCGATCACGCTTAAACGGTTGCGTCTAATTGAATTAATTAAACAGAAACTACTGACTTCTAATCAAGAGCTTAATTAAATGTCAGGTATTCTTATTAAAACACGAGACATCATTTGGTACCTGAAACTAAGAAGACTAAAATAAGCTCCATTGTGACATATGGCTCAATGCTAGGTTCATTAGTTGTCTGGAGAATATCGCGGAGTTTACCCAGCTCTTTCGGGTACCTAGCATAGTTATAAATAAATGACCAGTTTAGACACCTTATAGTCCTACTGAATACCACCACTCACCTTTCTTGAGCGATATGATGTGGTAATTAGTGATGATTAATTATTGCTATATTTATTTCTTTCTCTTTGTAAAATATGTAAAAACGACTTAAACAACTACTCAATTCAATTCAATTTATTCAATTACGGTAACAATAGACTGGAAAAGTCTATATAATCATACTAAATTTTTTAAAAATTATTTTAAAAAATTTAGGAAGCGATAAAATTATAGCTACATTTTCAAAAATTAAAGCCGTTTGGGAACCATCGATTACACTCATTTTCATATTTTTGTATTGAACATAAGCCGTTGAAAATGATTTTGAATTATTGTATAAATTTAAATATTTAATAAAACCGCCCTCAACCCCACCTTGAACTGAACTGAAGTGGCCAGGGAGAGTAAAAAGATTAAAGTCATAACATTTATTGTCCATGATAAATACCGACAAGGTGATCCAAGGAAACAAAATGGCGAACAAGGGAATATTTTCAGTTCGATTCAGGCTTTTAAAATTCGTTTGTATCTCTTTTTATTAGAGTTGGCTTATTTTTTTATGACTGTTATGCTCAGATTACTAATATCTAACATTATTCTTATTAATTGTTACCAATGTTTTTGTAGAATGTTTTTAACGCAGGTTTCATTATTTTTGTTAGGCCTGTGACTGCTCACTGTGAGTTCTGTGAGTGCTCTAAGCTAGAGATCTAGAATCTAGCCATAGGTTTCTAGACCTAGATCTAGATCTAATTAATTTAGATTATCTAGACTAAAATAGATTTATATCGAGAATCTAGATCTAGTACTAGATCCTAGGAGGAGTACTCTAGAGTCTAGAGATCTATTCTAGATCTAGAATATATTTATTTAATATCTAAATTCTAAATCTAGTCTTGAATCTAGATCTAGAACTAGTATAGATTATAGATAGATCTATAGATCTATAAAAATCTATATACTATATAGACATCTAGATCTAGTCTAGATTTAGTAGAGAATAAGAGATCTACTCTACTCTAGTCTAGATCTAGAAGTTATATACTTTATAAAAATCTATATTAAATAATTCAATAAGTATATTTTAAGTTAATAGAAATAATAGATAAGTTAAATAAATTAGGCCCATAGTTTATATTATAAATGTGTAGCTGGTATAGACTTAGAGACTAGTTTTAGAGACGAGTCATATAGTAAATAGTAAATAAATAGTTAATCTTAGTCCTTAGTAATTAGTTAGTAGGGCACTACATACACCTAGTCTAATAAATGATTAGTCTAATTAGTTAGAGCCTACTTGTTAAAATATATTTACTATAGTAGTAGTATTAGTAAGTATAGTTACTCTATACTATTACTAGGTATATTATAATTTATTATTCAAACAACCTCATAATTGCGAAATCATGACATTAGTGAATCAATTATTTATTTTAGCAGGCCAATAATTTCTATATTAATTTAATTTTAATAGTTAATACTTACTAAATTACTAGATCTGTACAAAATACATTTTATTTAAGATAATTTAGGCTATGGTACAGATGACAGTCCTAATACTTACATTGTTAATATGATTAGGGCCTAGTTAGAGGTAATTACTAATTAGACTTATGGTGACTTATGTTAGTCTAATAACTAATAGATTCATATTTAATAGCAGTAGGTCTATAGGCTTAAAATAGTATTGTAAAAAAAATAAAGTATGCTTAATTTTTACAGTTGTCATACTACTTTTAGTTTCAGTAGGCCTATCTAGACTGTAGATTTAGATGTAGTAGCTTAGTAGTAATCTAGTAGGCCTGTGATTGGGTAGGTATTTAGTATTTGTATGTAAGTTAAGCAAAGTTAACTAGGCTTAATAAGGCTACAATTTTAAACTGTAAACATTACATGTAGCCTAAATAAAAGGTTACAGACTAGTACATTAAATAATATCCAAAATTTAAGTTTAATCTAGATTAGTATGCTAACAGTAATTTTAGGCCTCTAATAAAGTCTAATAATAATAGTAAAAATTACTGAATAGAAGAGTAGGCTTACTAGTAAAGAGCTGTCTTATTTTAGTTCTACTTAATGGAGATGTGTGGTTGCAGCCCTTTGCCTTTGCTCCCAAGGGGCCACAAAGGAATGATGATGATGAATTAACTTAATATATGACTTAGTCTACTCTTAGTCTTATGTAGTGATCTTTAGAATTTAAAATGCAGAATAGTTGATAAAGCCAAAAGGTGTCAATTGTCATAGATGGATTAACTTACTAATCTAATTAATATAATTATCCTAATATTTATTCTAGTATGTGTATGAATTAATGATAGTTATAGTAGCCTAGTTTGAATATCAATTTTCAACTAATTCCTGAGGTGGCTAAACATAAGTAGTAGATCTTTATTTTTATCTTTTTTTTAATGATATATAGATCTACATGACTTTTGGACTCTTTTGAAGGCCTATTGTATTTAATAACAAACTCCTTACATTAAAATATTAAAAGTAAACTATTAGACCTATATTTTTAATGAATGGTAATGGTTAGATAGCCCATACAATCCAATAAATAAATACACATCATTGCTTTATGATCTTTATAAGACAGACAAATATTTTTATTTATAACATTAAGAGTTGAAAGTATGTAAACATAATGAGTTTAATATAGCAGTTTATGAAATTTATTTATGTTTTTTTAGATACTGTGGATTATACAACTGCATAAAGAGAAGACAAAAGTCAAGATGAAGCTCAATTTAAAAACTGATCCAAGGATACATAATGGACCCAAGAAAACTTGTTCATATTGAACAATTATTTTTTTAACTTTAGTTCTGAATGAATAATTAAAAAAAGAAAATATAAACTTTGTTATGTTTATTTTTTTTTAAGCACTGGTTGTGTGTGCTGGTGTATGCGGAAACTAATTATTGCTACCTTAATTCAATAATTAACTTAAACTGGCGAACTATAAATAGTTTTTAAGAATATGGTGCTGAAGTAGATTTCACCTAGTTTTGTTGCCTTTCCATATTAATAAATTGTATGGTCAGCAAAATTTCAAACAGCTTTTACTAAGTTTTACTGTCCATAACCAGTCAGGTACCAGTTAAAGCTGCTTTGAATTTGAATCAGAGACAACCTAAAGGATTAAAATTTCAACTCAAGATCTTTTGCTTTAGCAAATGTGTTCACAAATATGTAGTACCACTATAAGTCTTAGATTTGCAATTATCTATCATAGCTGTAAAACATAATGATAAAGGAAGAATCAAGAATATGGGTTTTTGTCAATTCTAGCCATACCAGCATATAAATGTAGACCAGGCTTAGTGAAGCATGACTGATAACTAACCATCAACCACAAATACAACAAACTATAAATACTATAATCCCTGCCTGTTTCCTAGTAATGTGTTGTTATTGGCCTTGCAAGTTTATGAACATGTTGTAATTGTTTATATATTACAAAAGAAAAAGACTGTTGCTGATCAGATGCATTCCAGATATTTGATGTTTTCTATAACTTTATAAGGATAGGCAGCTATAGCAAATGAGGTTAAGGGAAATGTTGAGTTAAGTAAACTATTTGATAATTGTAATGACAGAGATACCATCACAGCAACAAATGTAATTAGGTTTGTATGACAAATTAATGAATATCCTATAAATAATAGCAAAATGCTGAAGTGGTCGTCCATAAAAGACTTTGAGGTGGTGGGAGAGATTTGGACCTTTGTGTCAAGGGGGAGGGGGTTCAGAAAGTAAGATGACACTTCTCCATGTTCAACAACCACTCATGTTAAGAAACTGAATTTAAGCCTTTATTTGCATTATTAAAAGTTGTTTTATAAATTGTTATAAAATAATTCATCAATAGGCCTACATTGAATGTTGGAAAAACCCATAGGTCTAAATATTTTATGAAAATAGCTGCAACATCGAGGGGGGGGGGGGGGGCTTAGGTTTACTTTTTTGGGGAAGGGGGAGGTCTGGCATCGTTGTGACATCGTTAATAGATGACCCGATAGTCAGAGGTCGATCTAGATTGATAAGGCCTATATGAAAATGTTGATGTTAATTAAGCTTTACTTATTATTACAATGGAATATAGCCTAGTAGTTTA